CAATGCGCTCTCGCTAGTTACTGTGGTACAAGTGGATCAGGACGATGATCTGAACGCACTGGCCGGCTTCTGGTGGTTGCCACCGGAGAGACCATACTCATTGCATTCGGTGGAACGTGCGGAGGATGGGGATGGATTCAAGTATAACTCACCTACATACCGACCGTTCGGGCCATTCCATCCTCTAGCCAATAAGGCAGCTGCGATTGGAGTCACACGGAACGGAACTGTGAGTAACTGGTGTGTCAACGCAAAGGGAGAGAACTGACAAGAACAGGTTAAACTATGGTATCATGATGGACTCAATAAATATCAATCTGCTAGTTGCGACCTGGAGTCATTAACCTCACTCGATGACATCTTTACACATGCTTCGATATCGTGGACATGGAGCAAAGAGGGGGGAGTTGCAGTTCTAGCTGCCTATACACATTCTCGACAGCTTCGTGTCTATCGCCTCTCCATCAACTGGAACCTACCGCCGCAGACACAACAGCAACAGCAACAACAGCAGCCTAAACCATTGACCCTCTCTTCTACGCCCACCCTCTCGATCATTCGCATCAAGATAGTGGATTCTGCCTTCCCTGCAGATATGCCTCACGATCCATCCAGAGCACAACTTACGCATCTGGAGTTTCTCGGTCCGATGCCTAGGACTCCTCCTGGTTTGCCGACACCAGCCCCTACTGTGTTGTGCGTGTTTTCCGGGAAATCGGCGGAGCAACAGCCTTTTACCGTAGTATCACGATGGGATCTGCGGGACACTCCCAGCGCTTTGCATCCTAGTTTCGACCAGCTAGGCGTACGAAGGGCTAGCATCTCTTCACCTGTCACAGCAGAACTAGACCTTCATAGATTGGAAGACATTGTATTGGACAAATCAGTGATTGGGGTTTCTCCCGTCATCATGGGAACAGTAGTTGCATTTGCATGTAGTGATGGGCTGTTTGACTTTAGAGACCGCCTCCAACTACAACCGTTCAACAGCAATCCACTGAATGGCAAACTTAAGATTACGAATATGATTCAAGCAGGGTTTTCATTTACCAATGGAGGACCTTGCATTGATCTAGTGCTGTCGCCAAACAATACTGTTGCGGTAAGGTTAGGCCAAGATAACGATGTTCATTTGATGGTGATGGAATTCACTCGGGGAGAGGTGCAAGTGAAGGAAAACATGGAAATCACCTGCATTTCATTGGCGCTCCAGCACGCATATTCATGTAGCAACTATCTAAACAACGACGACCTCTTGCTCGTAGCACGCAAGTACCGGAGTTCAGGTGATTTCCCCCTGATGCCTCAATTCTGCAACAACCGCTAACCATCTGAAAGAATTTAATAATACTTTTCTGACCGAAGTACATCGTGCGCTGAATTTGAAAATGGATTTTACAGTTTCAGAATCTCCAAATGAACGGCTAGTACGAAATCCTCTACTTCAGAGATGTCTGAGCCTACAGTTCGCCCTTGATTTCCAAGGCGAACAAGTGAAGAAAATGCTCCCCGGAAAGCTGGCTTGGGCTACTTTGCACCTGCGGGTAGCATCACTGGCGTTTGCCCTCACATTGAATTCTGCTCAACGACCGGGAGGTAGGCCTCTGGGTGGTGGACAGCCCGAGGAATTCAGGCCAGAAGCGTTGCAGACACTCCTTGGTTTGGTGAGGTGGTTCATGGACATGATGTCGATGATTATCAGTGATTTATTTGATTTGGCCAAAAAGTGTCGTGGCAGGGCTGGCGATCTAGCATTTGTGAGAGAAAAGAGTATGTATCACCTCTCCCCAATCCAGACTGCTGCTTACAAAACTTCACAGTGCTCGAAAGCAATTCCCCGGCTTTGATACTCACGCTCGCCAGCGCAGCTCGAGCATTTCTCCGCTATAACTGCCGCAGTCTCAAAGGCCTCGAATCGGGCTCGGGAAAACAGCTACAGTCTGGGGCCCCCCTTGATGAAGAGCAGCGTACGACAATGCGCAGCTTCAAGGTGCCCATCGATAGCTGCGCCGTCAAGATCAGCCAGTTCGAGCGTATCATGACGGATATCGATGGGACAGTCCGCGCCGCCTACCACAACGTCCCCGAAGCTGAGCGCGCAACCGCCGAACGTCTGCTTTTTGTAAACAATGAGATTCCGGCAATCTTCCAGGCGCCCGTGGAACGTTTACTCTCCCTCACTCTCCCAAGCCTGCGCAAAGAAATTAACGTGTCCTCGCTTTTTTTTCATGATGTTTCCTGGCTGGGATTCCACGATGATCTAGGATCGAGGTTGTTTCACAAAAAGCATAAGATTGATGCAGTGAGAAAGATTGTGCTGCAGCCGAACGGTGTCAAATTGAGGCGGTGCACGAGATGTTGTTCTGTTGTGGATGAGGCCGTGATGGCGAAAACTCAGGGCTACTGGTTGAATTCGTTTAATCGTATGTGTCTCTGCGGAACACTTTGGATGCATTTGAGTGGCAGTGGGGGCCCGGGTTAATTCAAAAAGAGTATGGTGTGAAAGGCGTTATGGATTTGGATTGTGGATTATGTTTCTCTGATGGTGCATTTTGGGCATTGAATATATATGTTATTATTGTGTCGCTGAATTGGACAGCACCTAATCGCAGAATGCAGATGTATGTTCCTTGTAGTGCAGCAACTGATAGATTGGTCTGGAATCTTGGAATCGATGGACAACCCGGTGCTTAAAGTTTGTTGAGTTCTGAGTTACTTTCTTAATTCGTACTGTTGTATTCAGCAAATGTGGATCGAAAGCTTACTTCTCAATAATGCAGGTCACTCTGGAAATATTTGACTTATAAATCTGTTTAGATTTTATGGTTTTATAACTGCGGTTTAAAGGGTGACGGTCTATGATTATATAACTTAGACCTTGCCCACCAACTTTCACTCCTTCCTTTACTTCCATAACTTCCACTACCTTACAGTTTGGCTTACCACTGCTATCTTCCATCATCGTCCATAGTATTTTCACCAACCACCTCCCATCCAGTCACCATTATGGACTCACTCATCGTCATCCCCACGAAAGAATCGGCAATGAATTTCGACTCGACGCTGCAATGCATTGCTGAGCCTACAAAGAAGCTGCTATCCGCCATCAAGGGCGATGCCAATACTCCATCAGCAGAATCCAACGAGGCGGTCCCATATATTACCATCTCAAAAACGCCCAAAGACGACAACTACAACAGCAAAACAACCTCACCATCTCCCATCAAAGAAATCATCACACCTCGACCCAGACCGCCCCGTAGCTACAACACCATAAACCTACCCTACCGCTCCTACCTCCACAAACGACCGCACAAGAAATTCCACTTGCACCCATTCCCATCAATGCACAGGATATGCACGGCCTGCGACAAATCTGGAGCCATCCATATGTGCATGTACTGCGACTTGGTCCTCTGCAGTACTTGCAAGGACCTCATGGTCTCAGTCCGTGCCCGTGGGAATATGAAGTTGCTCATTGGCATCGTTGCGCGCTGGAAGTTGGGGTATGTGAGTAAGTATCAATTGGAGGTGAAGTCAGTGGTTCTGCCAATTGAATATAAGCAATGGGATTGGAAGAAGAGCCCAAGCGGGCCGAGTTGTCTGCGGTGGAAGTTCGGGGAGTTGTCTGCGGCGGATTTGGCGAAGATGAGTGATGAGGATAACTGGATGGACTGGTTGGATACCCAGGATGAGGCGGAAGTAGAGTATATGGAAAGTGAGAAGGAGGAGGAAGAGGAGGAGGAGGAGGAGGAGGAGGAGGAGGAGGAGGAAGTGGAATATATGGAAAGTGAGGAGAGGAGGAGGAGTAGAGGTGGGGTTTTTTTTTGGAGATATTTCATTTTGTTTGTTGTTAGCGTTTGTTCTCTCCATTGTACGAGGTTGGTGCACGAAGTGATGATTGGACGTGGCGATTATTTTGTTGGAATAGTAGCCTTGAGTGTAAGATTAGATGTTGTTAAAAGCCTGATGGCTATTTTCTTGTTCGATGGTTTTTTTTGGCTATAATGTTGCTTTGTATACTGATACCTGCGATATATTACGGTATTGGAAATGGAACTGAATGCATCAACAACAAGGGTTAGAGCGTAAGGCCACGGCCCCATAGATGTCACCAAGAAGCGCTTCCTGTAGAGTGTTATATGCATATATAGGGAAAAGGGCATATATTTCCAAGTTATTGGAAAGCTTCCCGTGGCCTATTCGGGCGGCATTTCCTCTCGGATATAACTGGGTGCTTCCCATGAAAATAGTTTGGGCTATTGAGGCTGCATAGAAACTCTCGTTGTTCTATACAGTTTCTATTGAGATTGATGGGGAGACTGGATGGATAGCTTGACATGATCATTGGCTCCCCACAGGAACTCCGACACTAAGAAGAAGATTAGAGTTGTTTTCTATCCAAATTCGATTGCTCGGTATCATCTCTTTAATAAAGTCATCATGATATCAATAAAAATGGGTAATTATCTGACATTCCACTACACCATCTTGCTCTCTGTCTGAATAATGCTACATGGTGTAAACTCAGTGTAGATATGTGGGAAATCTTAACGGTAAGGGGTAGCCCAAATGAAGAATAATGGATACCTGGGGAAAATGTGCCTAAAAATGTAAATATCATCAAAAAACTACATCACTATCTGGATGGGTGGGCAACGCCTGAAGGGTAGGTACTTAGTAAGTAGTCTCAACTCTAGCAGAGGATCGCAGTCCATGCAGCAGCACTGGAGGCACACCAATGTGTTGAGATCTTGTCGGACGCTAGAATCAGGCCGTGTTTACAAAGTTGGAGGGTAAGGTCGGGAAGGGAGTGGGAAGGACAGTATGGGGATACTAAGGTTTCTTTCATTCATTCTTTACTTTGGAGAGGGAAGCAGGAGATCAGAGGTTTTACTAACCGGCTTTTGAACCGGGAGGACGTGCTTTTCTTTGTTCGCCATAGGCGTAATGCGAGAATGATTCAAAACAAATCAATCAATCAAAGACAAAAGATTTTATTCCGTTACGGGGAATCGAACCCCGGTCTGGCCGGTTTAATGCTTTCAAGAATGAGAGCGGCCGATGCTAGCCACTACACCATAACGGATGACTCGATGCCGAAAGGTTCATTTTTGCAAACAAAAGGATAGTAGTACGTCACTCACTGCTCAAAATCAAACATCATCTGCCTGTAAAATCGAAGCCATGATAACTCAAGCTCAAACAGAGAATAGACACTCATGAGATAGAATACATCTATTATCTGGACGCTCAGATAGGTTCTTTGCATTACCACCATTACGGGACGAGCTACTCAACACAATCACCCAAACCATTGTACTCCAAACTTACTGGTTCTACCCCACTCACACCCAACTCTATTTTCCTAGGCCAAAGGAAGATAACTTTAAAGTCTAATCATCTGACGTCTGGTATTCATGGTAGAAAAATGGATGGACGTTGGAATAAGGTGTGGCTTGCAAGGATCTAGAACGCTTGTCGGAGGCTCGAGCGTTGATCATGAGTGGGCTTCATGATATTCATAGCTTTACCGCTTACTCGCGGTACTACCTGGATATTTAAAGAAGCCATTGATTGCGAAAAAAGCTTTCGCTCAGTAGGATTAGGTCGTTGCTAGAAGTCTAGGGACTTTGAGACTGCGAGGTTATATTCGGATATGGGGGGATTTGACTTTGGAAAAGGATGAAACTTTATCTTTTCGGCAGTTCCTGGGGTTCAAAAGCTTTCGCCACTCTGAAGTCAGTACGATTAGGCCGTTGCTAGAAGTCCCGGGACTCCAGAAACTGTATGAGCCTGCAAGGCTAACGCTATATGGACATGTGGAATTTTGACTTTGGAAAAGGATGAAACTTTATCTTTTTGGCAGTTCCTGGGGTCCATGCGCTCCCGCTCCCGCTGCAGGGTCTTTTTGCTGAATGCATGATGTATATATATAACCCCCTATGCCGCGAAGACTTGGTCCCAGCGCTTCAGCACTTCAGGCTTCATGGGAAGTAAATGCACTCAGTAAGGTTAGGGAAGAGCGAGGCACAAGCGCTGCTGTCACCAGAAGACCCCCCCCCGCCCAGGCGGTAATGCATCCCAGATCACCACAATCCTGGGGTCCGGGACGGTCGGGCGTTCACACTTTGGCTGATGCACAGCTGATGATGATTTAAATACTGATGAGAGGGCTTGAGAAGAAAGACGGAGCAGGGAATAGTTACAACGAGCGCTTACTCGGCAAACAATGAACGAACGAGTTCCTGCGTTGACCGTATCACTCGCTATTTTTGTTGTCCGCTGTTACTGCTATTACTCTCCGACCTTTCTACTTTACTCGGACTCCGCTGCGAGTTCACGTGCAACATGACGGAGGCCAGTACCTTGCTTCAGTTGATCTCCATTTTGACAATATTTTGAGATGCAGAGTGATATTCCATTCTGTGCCATTCGCGACCCCCAAAATTCCTTCTAGAACACACGCCAATAACCAAATCGTTGGTAACATACTTCATTTCTGTATGGTATCCAAGAGGAGCGTTGTTATACATTACACTAATGAGTGGACGCGGAAATCCAGTTACACGCAAATGATATAAACAGTGAAAATGATGAACCCGCTGAATCCAAAAATCGATCGAAACACCACCAAACGGATATGAACAGAACGGAGCAAAAAGAAAAGAAAGCCAAATCCCAAAAACTGATACCAAATACATAGAACGACAAAGAGGATGTCCAATACCCAATGCAATCAACACAGAAAGGAATGATGAGAAAATTATGCATATATATACAACAACAAAACAAAACACCGTGCCTCTATAAAACAAAGGTGACTCATTGGTAGGCGTCGATACCGTCAGGCCATGAAAGGCTGACTGATTATAATAAGTGTGCGAATTTGGCTCGCTGTGTTGCAAGATCGGTATGCAACCGTTTGGTTTGTCGTAAAGCCTCGTCTCTACAGTCTCGGGTTAATTAAAGGTCAAGATATTAGACGGGAGTACAGCAATGCTAACCTCTCTGTCTGGAGCTCCAACACCTCAATCTGGGCCGCATTCATTCTATTCACAACTTCGGCCATCTCATCATCTGCATCGGCAAGTGCCCGTTCCAGCTCACTCACTCTCTTCTCCAGAGACTCAGTCTTCGAGGCATCTGAAGCGGAGAGTCGTCTGACTCTCGTCCACTCAAGCTTAGGACTTCTCAGAAGCGGCGATGTTGGGGCTCTAGAAGTAGGCGATTTGACAGTTGACGCTTTTAGTCTTCGCAGTTGGGAAGTGTGCGTTTCCTTGATGCGTCTAATTTCATCTTCGTGCTGCGTGACGGCGTCTTCGGCCTGTTGTTGAGCTTCAAGCACTTTGTCTTCCAATTTCCGCAACGTGGCTTGAAGGTCATTGATTTTCTTTGCGGATTCCCTTTGCTCAGTTTCACCACGCTCAATACAGTCCGCCAGTCTGTCCCTTAGGGTTGCATTGGAAGCAATTTGTGCTCGTACTTGAATGGCCAATTCCTCCACGCGTTCCGAAGAGATACGCAACTGTGTCGCCAGGTTCCTTTCCTCTTGCAGGTGCATAGTCTCGGATCGTTGTAAGGACTCCGCGCGCTTGCGATATGCCTCTGCCTCCACTACAGCAGTATCACGTTCAACTTCCGCCGATGTCAAGCTTTTGCGTAATTCTTCAATTGCACGTTGTTGTTTTTCATTGGCGTCCGAAAGCCTGCGTTCGCGTTCGCTCACAAAGGAAGGGTCAACGCCATTGCCCTCAAGTTCGTCTAATCGGGCCAGAGAGCGCTCATGAAGGGCTTGAAGATCGCGATATGCTTGTTGTAGGGAGACGGACGGGGTCTCAGCTGGTCTTTCCTGCTTAAGCTCCGAAACTTCCCTCGATAACCGTGTGTGCGCATCCTTTAATTCATCGTGCTGGGCGATAAGATCGTCATGTTCCTGGAGTAGTGCCCTCAATGTGCATGTCTCCTGTTCTGCTTTCTCCAGATCCATCTTTAATGTACTGAGACTTCTTTCGCACAAGTATTTCTGTTCTAGAGCATCATCCGCTCGTTGTCTGAGTCGTCCAACTTCTCTGCGCAAGGCGGATACCTCCTTATTTCGGCCTTGTTTTCGGAGACTTGGATTTAGCGCGTGATCACGTTCCGTTTCTAACGACTTTATTCGCTCTTTTGACTTCTTAGTCTCAATTTGCTGCCGTTCCCTTAAACTTTTAAGGGCCTTGTGCAAAGCATCTCGTTGTGTCTCCACGTCTTTTAAGCGCTCTGCTAAAGACTCCCGGTCCTTTGGATTTAATGGCAATGAAACGCCCACGTTGGTGGTAGGTGTGCCTGGCGTCGCGTAACCTGACGGAGTTCCCGACACCGATTGCCGATTTTGAAATTGAGTCTGAATTTGAACTAACTGTGCTTGTTGTGCATAAACTTGGCCCGGAGCCTCTGCCGGATTTTCCGCTTGAGCTCGAGATTTCTCTTTAATCGCAGCAGCAAGCGAGGCATTCTCTGTTTTCAGGGACGTCAACTCTTGCTGCATGCGAGAGTGCTCATACATGAGCTTTTGCATGTCTGATGCTTCGGTCTCGAGTCCTTCCACACGAGCCCTCAGCTGTGGAACCACCTCATCCCGAAGATTATCGCGTTCGTTTCGGTTTGCTTCTAATTCCGCCTTTAGGGCTGTGAGTAAGTCCTCGAAGTTTTCCTTCATCAAACGCTCTTCTGCGAGCTTTCGCTTCGCTTCTTCGAGCGCCATTTCGAGGTCCTTTACCCGAGCGGGAGAGTCCGGAGGCGCAAGGCGCGAGCCAGTGGAAGACTGTTCGCTGGTAAACCTGATGTTCACATAAAAAAAAAGGTTGGGAGAGTATACTTTAGCAACAATTTCCTCCAGTTCTTTCACCTGCAATTCCACAGCTCTTCTTTTGTCTCTCTCCTCCTGAACTTTTCCGAGCATATCCAACCTCAACTGAGCCTTCTGTTGTTCCACTTTTCTCACCAATTTCTCCACGTCTGGGTCTTTGTTATCGGTGTCCAATATTCGCACTGGCGTTCCAGCATCTGAAAAATAATCACTGGTTCGTCTCCCATTACCTCCACGTTCTGCGGCTTCGGCCTGAAGGCGTTCAATGAGATCTTCCAAATCCATTTCTCTCCGAATAGATGCTGCCAAATCCGCAGAAACATCCCGCACCTCCTGTTCGATAGCATCAACTGATGAAAGCGTGGGTGTCGACGGCGGAAATAGGTTGTCGGAATCGGAAAACATTCCTGGAGTTGGTGGGACGGCATTTGCCAAAGGTACATCGATTGCAGGAGGTATGAACTTGGTGTTTGTAGGAATCAACGAGGGGAGATTTGTTGTTTTTGGTGACAACGAAGGTGGCGACCCTTGGTCTATCTGAGCTGTTAATAACTCAGGTCCATTTCCTTGCTCAGAGGTGCTCCCCCAACGGAAAAAAGACGTGAATCTGTTGCTTGGGGATTTTGGTTTGCTCGTTTCGTCGGCCAGGTCGTGGTCCTGGTCCGTGCCTTCTGGGAGCGATATATTAGGGTGGATGGATGTAGTCATGGTGGCAGCGGATGCACTGCGCGAGTGTGCAGATGATTGGAAAGTCCTTGAAGATATGTTCAGACTGAATCTCGCATGATTCGGCGAACGAGGTTCACGGAAGGTAGGAAGTTGTGCTCGTGAAGTGACCGGTTGAGCCCAAAGCTGGCCACGATTGTGATCCTCGCGGTACAATCTGGAAAGCAAAATGTGTGTTAGAGGAAGTGCGTGTCGGTAGAGCATATAATTCAAGTCATCCCACACCTGTTTGGGATTCCAGTAACAGATTCCTCCGGTAATGGAAGACAACGTGAATCTGGGGCTGGGTACCCGTGAGGGAGCTCTAGCGGTGGCTCAGGAGGTTTGGGGGCTGCTGAAGCGAATGGCTTGTGAGTTGGAGGCCTGGGAAATTGGACGGATATCCCAGAGCCGAGAGTGAGATCAGTGAGATGAGCGCCAGCAGGAAGAGGCTTCCGTCGAATTGGTGATTGACGTGCAGACTTTGGAGAGAACGGTTGTGCAGGAAGAGGCGGCGAGGTGTTGGAATTAGC